AAAAGATGTTCCTCCTCTTGTTTAACTAACAGAGGCCAAAAAACAGCGGGTTCACTGTATATGACGGTATGCAGGACTGCGCATTTAGATTTATAGTGTCTTATTCCACTGTCAGGAGTATATTAAATATAAAAACCTTTTAATGCTATAGTGTGTGCAGAATGTAAACATTCTTTATTGTGCGAACGACAACGTAGTGAAAACAGAACTTAAAAAAGATACGCCAACTTTTAAAAACAAAATGTTGTATAAACACTAAAAACTGATGGATTTAAGTATTTAAAGAGATATTTCTTAAATGTTCTATCGCACAGGTAAGAAAGAAATGAGTTACAGCTATGCACCAATATATTACTGAGCAGCCTTGACTCCTGTATAGAATATCCCATTATTAATTTATTTTTACATAAACACATGACATAAAGAACCAATTTTAATACAGATCCCCTTTTTCTAAGAATTGGGTCCAAGATATATACTGAGGTAAACATTTTACAGGAGTAAACGAGTTGCTGCTCTCTGGAGAACAATATACACCAATACCACTATATCTGTAATAAGCTAATATCAGCCGTAACAGGACACTGGGCCACCTCAGTTTGTGTTCAACGCTCCCGCAGCACATTTGCTGTACGCAGTCATACACAATAAACTCACTCACGAGGTGCTCAGCAAAAGCTGTGGGATCAAAAGCAGTTCCCTCAGCGAACAGCTGGCTGGCTTTCTCCTTTCCCAGGTCTGTGGCCACGACGAGGAGCTGGGCATCCAGAGCTGCTTCTCTCGCCTGCCGGACTGCCAGGGAACACCGCGAGATTAAAACAGACCAAAGTGTGATGATGAAACTTGATTTAAGTGTGAAGTGTTAATCTGGAAACTAAAAAAGTGAGACTGTATGTGCTTCAGTGATTAAAACTGGGAGTTTAGAGTCGCTAATTGACCTAACCTGCATGTCTTTGAATTTCCCTCGGGATAAATAAAGTATCTAATGTTATCTATCTATCTATCTATCTAATGTTATCTATCTATCTATCTATCTATCTATCTATCTATCTATCTAACGTTATCTATCTATCTAATGTTATCTATCT